GGCACCTACGAGGTCATTTGCCCCTTCTGAGTTCATGCCGCTGGTTACTCCTATTTTGTATATTTTTACACAGACAGGAAAAGTATGAAATCTTCTACTATTAATGAAGATCCTGATCATTGATCTGATTATCTTAAAAGACACACTTGTTTTTATGACCTCACTCTATTATCCCACTTTTCTGATTGACGATTGGTTCGGCAAATAGCTCTTTTCAGAAGCAGGGTAAATCAATATTTGGGTCAGGCAAGGAAGAAGGAATGTATAATATGTCTTCTGTTTCCATACCGGTATTCTGGGAAAGAATTAAGGCTGGTAAAATGTTGGCATGTAAGTACATGCTCACTTATTGGTCACTCTTTCTCCATTGTATGTGGAAAAAAAACAAGTTAGCAAACCTCCAAGAGGTTATAGGACCCCTTTATTATGGGGAGTGACGTGCCGCGGCAAACCTTGACCCTTTGCTTCTCAGTCTCTTTCTCATCCTCTGCACGTGTCTTTCGTGCCTGTGGTGCTGAAAAGAACAAGCTAATGAAAGGGAAGGAAGGGGACCCAGAACCAAGAGAACCATGAGGGCACAGCAGTAAGGCCTCAGAGACCCGGGGCCCAAACACGCACCCAGGGAATGCCCACCACTCACCAGGAAATCTGATAAGAGCGCTGGGGCTGCCCCGAGTCCCCCAGGATCTGAGGCCAGTCCAGGGACCTGGCGTAACCTCTAATACATTACCCTGTTAAGAGCCAGTTGGAGGAGGATTATCTAAATACACCCCTCTTCAGAGTAAGTAAATTTCCACGTTTCATGATTGCAAAAGGTCTCTTAGGCAAGATACTTCTCTGAAACTGGACCAACTGGCAGTAACAGGACAAGAGGCCTCAGAGGGGAGGATCGTTTTGGAAACTGCCAGGTGTGGGTTCAAAGCCTAGAGTTGCTATTTATCAGCTGAATAACCTTGGACAAGTTCTTTCTCTCTCTCTGTTGATTTCCTTATCAATCAAATAGGGATGATAGGAGCCCCTGAAAGGTGGTCCTGGCATTAAAGGCTTCCAGGGAGGTAAGCGCCAGCCCACAGCGAGCTTGAAACCTACAGTGTCGGCCACCACCACCTCTGTCCCCAAGACCCTCCTGGGACACGGTGGCACCCTGGCTGGGACTGGTGTGCACAGGGTGCTTAGACTTCCCTTCATTGTTCATCCTTCCAGGCTCTGCCTTTATGGCCGGCTCAGCCATCCCATTTTTCTGGATCTTTCAGGAAGCACGAGGCCCTTCCTCTTCACTCCAAGGATGAGAGTGAGCAATTTCCGTGGTAACACTCCGGGTGCATGAGATGGTTTTCCCATGAGAGAGCATCAAAGCCTTGCAGACCTCCCCATGTAAGAAAAAGGAAGCACCCACGTGCCGACTAAAATCTGTGCATAGGGGCTTGTACTTTAAGTCGAATGTCAGAAGTGAAATGAAAGTTTCATGTCATTAAGGCAACCCGAATCCACCACTGTTTTGCTATAACAGTTTGCTTTGTGAGATAGAAAAGCTTTGGGAACTGTGACTTCTTTGGAGACATGGTAGTATCCAGATAGGACATCTCAGGGCCATCTGGGGCTTTGTTTTGTTTAATTTGGTAACCAGCTTTATTGTTATTTATATTATGTACATCCTGTCAGAAATCTAAAACCTGCTTCTCAGTCAAATACCTGTGACATGTCCCCCCTCCGGTGATTATAACAAATAAGCCAGAAACTTTCCTTGTTCAAGTCTTGGCCTGGGCTTTTGTGGTGCCAGAGCCTTTTTAACTGGTTGCGTTTATCTTTATTTGGTCTCCTAGGACCCCAGATCTGCCCTGAAGCCCAAAGGATCTAAACACCTCCCTCCTCCTTTATAAAAACATTATCTTCCGTTTTGGCAGGTAGTGGGGGCCTCTCTCCAGATAAGCAGTTCATCCCGGTTCTCTTGGTCTCCGGCTTGAAAACCTGCCTCTCTGGAGAACTGTTTGATAGCTTCTGAAGAGTGCTTATTTTTATCTTGAGACTCAAAGACAAGGGTGACCCGGAATGTCTGTCCGCAAAGATGCTGTCACACAGACCTGCCAGCTGTTATCTTCACAAAACACTCGCCTTCTTGATGCGCTTCCCGAGACCATTAAGGAAGCTAGTCACCACTTGGTGCTCAGAGCCCTCGCCCCGGGTTTTTCTTCCCTTTGGTCCTTGGCTCTTTGAAAAGCCTTATTGAGAAGGATTCTGAGGCCACACCACAGCTCTGTGGGAAAGTGTGCTGCGAGTGATTAGTAATGTCTGGCATGTACACGGCCGTCACGTCAGGGTTACATACTCACCCTTTCTGTCCCTGACCTAGCCTTTTCATAATGCAAGTGCCCCAGTGTGCACAGGACAACTTGTCTTCAGCATTGACTAGATGCCTTTGACTAGAATGCCTCCTGGACTCAATGAAACTTGAGGGCTTTTTCTTCACATGTTAGTTGTTCAGGCAGTTTGGTTGCTTAGCCAGTGTATACATGTTTCCGGTGGTCCTATAGTATTATTTACCTTTTCCAAGCGCTAGCGGTGACATGAAGCAGCAGCCTGAGACAGCACCCTTTGCAGCACAATTAGAGCCTTCTCTGTCCTTACCCTCCACGGAGGTTTCAACTGGGATTAACGGAGCCCCATTTAATGCCCATCATCCTTTGATTCTCAGATGGGAATTCTTAGTACCAGCCTGGCCCCAGTTCCCTCCCATAGACTATTTCTCCCTATGTATTCCTAATTTCAATTCTTT